CAGCCTAGGGAATGTAGCCGGTTCACAGGCCAGGAAGATTAGCTCCATCCCCTGTCATCTTTCCTTAGTCCTTCAACAAAAACCATGTAACTTTGGTCATAGATATAACACACAATTATCCAACCACTCTGAATTACCAAAGATATTTCCTCTTCTTCCTCTTCTACACCAGTGTGACTCCTCATTATAACTGATGTTTAGAACAAGCCCCTCAACCAACAGCGGACTCGCTGAAGTAGGAAATTATTATCATTTTGTAAGTGAAGAAATGTGGGACCAACCTACATTGGCCTGCCTGGCACAAATGATCTGTCACAAGGGGCCGTTCTGAGAAGGCTGCAGTAAATGGTGCTTGCTTTTACTAGGGACATCTACGCTATCATGTAAGCCCAGGACTTTCATAAAAAGAAGTACTTAGTGGTTCTTAACAGTATGAGATGAAAGTTCAAGCAGACAACTGTAGATAGTAAGACATTTCCTCAGCAAAGAAAACAATAACTTCTGTGTAACAAAGGGGCCTTTCATTTTAACCCCTGGCTCCTCCAAGCTGCAGATGTTTCAGTGTTCTGCGATTGTTCAGAGTTTACTGCAGTGATAAGATCTCATACGTGACTTCTGAGGGGAATGCAAGAAGGACCGGTTCTTCTGGTCATAAGAAATTTACCTCAATGGAGCCGTGCCAATTTATATTAGATCATGGTGTGGCCCTGATTTCTTATGTAGGAAGTTATTTTTCCCTTCCTGATGTTTCCACTGCTTGACCTTTCAGGTTTGCAAAAAACTAATTGTCACCAGGTGATAAAATAAGTTTGAAGTTCTCATCTTTCTAACTGAGCCTTCATATTTCCTTATGGACACATGAAAGATTTCTAATTCAAGGAGATCAATGGCTCAGTGAGTCACGCTGCTCCGATCTGTGCACAGATGGGACCCCCACTCAGCACATAAGTCTGTTTCTGTGCTGAGTGAATGCAGGATGGGGCTTACCTCCACCACACCAGTCCCTTTTTAACAAAGCGGTTTGCAGAGCTCTTGTGGAGATTCATAATCTACATGCAAAGGGACTTTATTAGGAAAGGGGGAAGAGAGGCCCTGAAAATGAATCCTGAGGCCATGTTAATAGGTGTGTAGATTTTAAGATCAGAAGTGAATGCCCCTTGTGGCAGCAAAAAAGGACATAAATACTTCTCCAGGAAGCCAAAGACATATCAAAGAGATTTCAGAACTGCACAACTGTACCAGGCATCCACGTGGCCTTTGTGCAGCACATCTTGTGAGAAGTGAATCTCCTTCTGTCTTGAAGTATTCTGGGAAGACTTTGAGAGAGAGAAATGTCATAAGAGGTATTTCACTTCCTGCTTCAGTGAGGAGTTTTCTCCCTGGATAAATGGGAAATTTCTCCCTTTTTTCTACAGCTTTATGATAGAAATGCAGTGCAGTAGTGACTGGAAGTTATTTACCATTAGATGAAAGTTTCCATTGCTAGGATAGCTTGGATTTCCAGACACTGCCCATGACAACCTGTTACTAATACCAGCCCCCAGAACAACCACTTCTGAAGTCTGTAGTAGCTGACCAGTAACCTCTTTGAATAGATTTTTTGGTTTCAGTGCCACTCTCAAATGGACAAATGTCCTTATCATAACAACAGTACTGCAGCTGCTTCCCCTGCGGTTAACCTCTGCAGACCAGATGATGCATATGACTGAGCAGTAGAGGTGGTTAAAGATCCTGCCAGATCATGTCTGTAGTACAGTGACTGGACAGAAGGAAAAACTTCTCCGTTGTTTCTCGTTCCAGATTGTCCTCACTTTCATGATATTTTACAATGCTGTATCTCTGTATTTTCCTGGGTTTTCACTGTGTCAGCTCTCCACCACTCTCCCAAACCTTGATCACCTGTTTTATCAATTTTTTTTTAATCATCTCTGCATTCTCTTCCAGATCTCCCATATTTGTGGAATGCTTTTTTAAAAATTAATTCCCAAAGGCATTACTCCCCTGCTCTTTCAGCTCCTACCTCAAGGGCTACACCCACCAGGATATCTGCAGGAAATTACAAGCTAATAATAGCTATGCAGATAACTAGTGAGGATCATCAAAGTACTTTAAAATGGATTCTATGTTTTATTTGTCTTTTTCACCCTCTGGATTACCATCTGGACGGGTAGATGTCACCACCATGTTTTTTAATCTCTTTATTAAACACTGTAATGTTCTCTGCTTGGAGCTGGGCTTGCAAGTTGCTCATAAATTTTAGCCTGTGCAGTGGACTGGAGAGATGGAGCACAGCAGATTATGGAGGGTTATCTCCACTACGCCCACAGCCAAGCACATAAAAAAGGTTTGGACTTCAGATCCTGGAGGGTTCCATACATTTCACAGCCTTTCGGGACCTGAGGCCCCATCCTCCCCAAACATGAGTTTCACACAGCCCTGGAAAGTCAGGGCTACAGGCAAGGTTTGTTCTCACAAAGCCATCAATCCAAACTGACTCTGGAGGCTTCTATGGATTACTCCAGAATTGCCCACAAGGTAACACAGAGAAGAAAATTGGCATTGTTGCTTAAACAAAGACATAGGAATTTGCACTGATGTCTTCTCTTGCACTACCTTTAGGGAACTCTGTAATTATACTGAGGTTAAGTTTCTTCATAGTAACAACCTTTAAATTCAGACCAGCTCCCCTGACTTCAGTGGAGTTAATATGGATTTACACAAGCGTAAGCAAGGATGAGATCTGGTCCTAATTTAGGACACATCTGCCAGCACAGATGGAGCTGAGAGAGTTTATTGTCATGTTAATTTTCTACCTTTGTTTGAGATTCTTCTGAGCATGGAACAAACCCAACAATTTTAAAATCTTGCAACACAGGCAATGTTATCGCCTCTTATTGTGGTTGGTGAATTCCACCAGAGCACAAGATGGGCTTGTACTCAACTAAATCATGATGGCTTAAAAAAATAGCCTTATGAAAAATAATGGCTAAAATTGTCATCCTGAAACCACTTTGAAAGGTGATGAACTTTCTGTGATGAGTAGCTCTATTGACATACTCCTGGCTGTTGTAAAATTAATCGCCTGAGTAACAGTTTGCGTGACTGTAGCCCAGGGGGCAGTCTGCCACACCCAGGCAAGACTCCAAGAAGGTCATGCAGAGTTTTGCCTGAGTAATAAGTGCTAAGTTTATTGCTTGGTGGCTGTGAATCCAAAACAAACAAACAAAAAAATTGCTACCTTTAAATCAAAAATTTTGTTGTGATTCTGGTCCTTAATCTGTTGATTTTTAAAATTGACATTCTTTTCTGTTGTCTGTTTTGATGCTTTACAAAGTGAAAGAGGGAGCAGTGCTTTCTTATAAAACTTGGAAGAGTATTCTGTAGCACATGCAAGTGGCTTGCATGCCATGAAATAAAATATTTCTTTTTCTCTGCCATCCCATATGTCCTGGTGTCTATTTTTTTTTTTCAATTAGGCAAATAATGTGTCTATCGTCTGTCTTAAGGAAAAATAACCCACTGCTGATTGCTCTGGAGGGGTTACCTGTCTAAAGAATTCAGGATCTGATTTTACAGGAATTACTGTAAAGTGTAATCAAAGTATTGATTTTATGATGGAGAAAGAGATCTTGTTGTTCTTAAGCTCTGCTCTTACTGTGGAGTCAGAAACCTTACAGTTTTTGTGCATTATTATATTGCTTTAAGGGATAAAAACACTCCTGAGCAGATGAGTACCAAGTTTGTACAACTAACCCCCCTAGTGTAAATGTTAAAAATCAGATTCCTAGGAATAAAAGACAGAAGGGTAAAATCTTTTTTGGCTTAATCTGATTTACCTGACTATTTATGCCAGCACAGGCTTAGAGTGCATTGTAGAGTGAGAAGGAATAATACAACTCATTCTTATTCTATAGCAGTGCAAATATAGGGTAACTCCTGTATTCAATATTCTCCCTCAAAAGTAGTGTGAGAAAAAAGTCAAACCAAACACACTGAAGATGACATGCAGAATTTCAAACAAAATGAGACACATATGGGGAGGAAATTGCATTATAATCATTTGATTACATATTTCAAGCAGATTTCTGAGGCCCATGGCATATCCATAAAGGAGATGGTTTTGGTAATGTAACTGTAGTGATATTAGTGTAAATCTGGAGTTGCTGCAGTGACATTATGTTAGCCCCATTAATTCTGTAAAATCTTGCTGATACTTTTTTTTCCCCCTCAGCCTATTTTAAGTGGGTGATTAATAATTTTGTAATCTGAGCTCTTATGTAATAAACTATTCGTAATAGCAATTACTCATCCAGAATATTCTCAGCTGAACAATTCAGTACAACAGGTCAGATTCAGATTTCCCAGTGGTTTGCTCTTCATGCAGTTGCCCTGAATCACATTAGGGTTAACCAGAAGTAGAAGGCTTATGTTTTTCAGCAGGTAACCCAGGAAACACAATTCAGAAGGCAATTGTAACCTCTCTTAAGGCTGCCCAAATTTAGAGCTCTGAATCAGAACCATCCACGATGCAGACTGGATGCAGGGTTCAGATATTCAGTGCCAAATTTTCCC